TTTTGCAATGTATTGTTTACATGTGATGACAGCTAGTTAAGCAGGCGAACGCTGTTTTGTTAACTTTTTTTTTTTACTTCCGGTGCAGAAAATTCCCTTGTTTACCATCAAATCTCATATGTTTACCATAGCAACCATATATAGATAGAAAATAAATTATATAAGGTTATTGAAAAAAATCTCAGTTTCTTGACAAAAAAATCGAATTAATAAATACAAAGTCTTTAGAAAATTAAAGGTCCCTTCTGTGAGTTCATTTAAAAGGGGAATAATTTGGCGTAATTTTAGACAGGGAAACCATGAGTTATCATTCGTGGCTAGGAAATCATGCAAGCTAGTTTGTAAGTGGGTTAGTAGGCGGGCTCATTAGTAATACATTCTGACCAATGAATAACAGAGTTATACACAACAATTCTTTTTTTTTTAATTATTTTTTTTTTGGATCTAATATGTTGTAAATGTTTTCGGTGAAATAAAAAATCGTAAAGTCTTATCATTCTTTCGATAAAGTAATAACCAAACCTGCTGGACTAGTAGCCAATGACTTGCTCAGATAAATCAAATAAATTATCGTTATGCTTTTAACCAACATTGTGAAATGCTTACTATAGAGCACCGAACAAACACGGCAATAATATCGAAGTCGGAGAAAATTAAGCCAGTGCAACAAAACGAATTTAATTAAAAAGATATCTATAAAATACAAATAATTAAAGACTATATATGTACAAATATTTTGTTGATAAAATAATGGTATGTTGAATGGGGGCATGTAAGGGAGAATTAGAATAGTACTTTGCTATCTTTTTATTATTGTTAAAGTTATACAAGATGTCAATTATGTTTTAGCCACTATGTGTACAATGCATTGGATAAGTCGTATTTGATTGGTGCGAAGACGAAAAGCGATGATTACAAAACAGCTCTACTCCCCCTTCGGGACTATCAATACTAAATTGCATTTATTTACAGTTATTGTTTTAAATTTTAGCAGTCAGGACAAATTGTTTTTAAAAATATTGTCTGAGAGAAAAAATAGTTTGATCTTTTAACAGAAAATCGGGATAAACTGATAATAGCATTTGATATATATTGTTTGATTCTCAAAAGATGTGTGTTTATTTCCATAACGACCATTTAAGAGATTAAATGGGATAAAACGGATGCAAGCAATTATTGAATCGACAGGGCACAATTATACTATATATAGATGATTTGATAAAAATATTAATCATTTTAGCTCTAACCCTATGGTGTTAGGTCCGCACACTTCGGGCCTGGATCATCAACTAGTACATTTACACGGTTTTTACTGTAATGGAACTGAAACAAGCATAACAAATTAGGCCCGCATAGAGAGTGGGGAATAAACTGATTGTGGATCACCATAAAGATGTTTGGCATATCATGTACACCAGGTAATAATTGTCTAATTAAAATTGTTCCTGGAATAAACGTGTGATTAAACCCAAATTTTAAAATTTTATTTTAAAGGGTGATAATTAGGGAAATTGTGGGAAAAAACAAAAAAAGATTTTAAATACTGTTTCTCATAAAAATTTTTTTTTTAATTTACTCTTTGAAAAAAAATTTTACTTTTTTTAATTTAAACCCCTTTTCGAAGATACACAAATTTTCTGAAAAAAAATAACGTTTCCCTTTTAACAAATATTGTAAAATAGGGGGAGAAGAGACATAAAACAAGTCGGGAAAAATCAGTGACCTTTTCCATTCTTTTGCGTTTAAGACAAGTACCAGGGTTATTTAAAAACATTTCCCCGCACACGTACAGATAATTTGAAAATTTGAAATGGGTATCTTCCTGCTTATAAAATTTAGGGGTTATATAAAATCAATTTTCTACATTTCAAGTTGTGAACCGCTATTTAAAATTTAAATTTTAACTGAAAGGTAGGAACTACAGAGGTGCAAATAAATTTAAACTTATCAGTCGCAACATCTTGAATAAACAATTCATTGTTGAAAACAATTAATGTACTTTTTTAAAGGAATTCAGGAAAAAGGTTTGTTTTTTTGAGGCTTAAGAAAAAAAGGTATTTTTTCCCCCAAATTATAAAGTAAAATGCCTTAGTCGAAAAATTTAGGGTGTTAAAATCATACAAACGTCACGTGATTTTTTTCCGGGGAATAGAAACTCTAAGGAAAAAGGAGTAAATTTTGATTTTAAAATATAAAATTTTTAACATAATACCAAAAAATTAAAAAAATCAACTGCCCCTTTTTGAAATTTGTGGAATTTAAAAATTAAAAAGCATCTAGAACGTTACATTGTTGAAAATTGCGAAAATTACGAGAACATGACCGGTATTGGTTAGATATACAATTTAGCTTTACATTGATTCCATATTAATTAATACATATCCGTTCTGTTTAGCTGCGTTTATAGCGCACGATACATTGTCTAAATATTTAACCTACAAGATCTGTTTTGCATTTTAGTAAACTGCATAAAATTTGAAATAATGTTCTTTAGTAAAAAGAAATAGAAAGGAGAAAATATCATTAGAGTGAATTAAAACCTTATCGTAAAATTTTTAGATCGAAAATAATTCTTTAAATAAAGATGACAGAATTGTGCGAGTATTTGCAATAATAAGTAAGGTAAATGCCGTCAGCAACAAAGAAAAAATAAATATATTTACTGTATACCAATTTTAATAAGTTACTAGCATGTCAAAATTATTCAAACCTTTTTTGTAGCGAAACAGTTAGTTTTATGTAAACCAGAACTTTATCCGTAAGTACTCATACATATTGGGACAACAAGTCGGTCAGTATATGTCAGTAATGTATCTTTGCACAAAAGTTTTTGCTATGGCAACTCTATAATAGTTTTTTACATAAGTTAAACACGCCTAACTTCACGAATATAGGATTTTGATCTTATGACCATTTTTACCGGCAAAAATCATTTTTTTCAAGTTTTAACTATACTTGAACTTTGAACCTTACACTTCAATGATTTGAGCAAAATTTTCGAAAGTAACATTTTTTTAATAAAATATATTACTGGCGTGTGTAAACATTTGTCGCAGGTAATATTAAACACCTCATTAAAAAGTAACGGCGTCTACGTTCGACCGTGAGATAACAGATATATGTACTGCTACTTTAGTAGCTGTTACAGTAACTATATAATTTGATTAGTGTAAGAAATAATTATATGTCATCAAGGCATAAATTTGGTTAAGACAGTAAATAGTTAATTGATATATTTAATCGATATGAAAATGTTTAAATAATCATAATACATAATTTAGATGGTATACTTATAACTAAACCATTACAACAATCAGGGGAATATAACAATGATTACAGACGACGACGTTGCTGAACTTTGAAAATAAAGAAAGATTCTATTGAAAATATAAATCCATACTATTTTCAGTTGTTTGTCAATAATGTAAAATGCACAGTTATCAAGCCAATTAAACCCAAACCGAAATTGCAATTTGTATCATAAGTTGGGCTTTTTCTTCATAAAATATTATTTAATTCATAGCTTTTATCATTCATATAAATATTGACTTTATTCTTGAAGTTCGATTGGTGAATGGGTCACATCCATATGAAGGGAGACTGGAAGTATGGCATGATGGGTCTTGGGGAACAGTATGCGATGATGACTTTACAGCGCAGTCTGCAACAGTTGTTTGCAAGATGTTAAATTATCCACAGTAAGTAAGAAAAACGACAATAACTTATTGATCAATATGTTAACATACATATTGTATAGAAAAGAATGTTTTTAATTTCAAACAGAATGGGTTACGTAGAAAGGTAATAAATTGTTATTTGACTATTCAGAAAACATAAAATTCAGCCAATGCTTTGTCGCTAGTCCGAAATAATCATGTTTACTAAAAGAACCAACCGTCAGATATTTAAAATCACGCCACAGTTAGATCATAGAATTTTAACTGTATCCCCGATTTTTTTCAGACACAAATTGTCAGCGAAACATTTATTGATTTCATAACCTTCTCATTAAAATCATGTCGATATTTAGCTCATTTGAACACGTAAAGTGCCTAGAGGTGAGCTATTGTGATGCGTATATGTTCATGTGCCGTTGCTTTTTTTAAACCATCAATTGATTTTGATCAAACTTCACAGGAATGACTGTTTAAGTCTGATGTAAGGGTCGGAAAAGCTAAGAATTGGATTCTATAATGTCCCAGATCGATATCAAGCATGTAGAATAAATATTTGACATATGGTCCTTAACAAAGTCAAACATATTCCCCTTGGATCAAAGTTGGTTTAGCAAAGTTAATATAGACTGATATAAGGAAACATCAATTTAAATCATCATGTTTTAATACTACAAATCATATACCTTAGATGTTTGGATTTAACATTTCCTAATTAAGATTTCATATATCATGCAGCTTGGCTAATCAATATTACACCCAATGTGGTCTTATCCCTTTTTAGTTAACAAGATAAATATTAATTTACGTTAAGATTGTAACGGCAAAGTGCATTATGCAAAAATACTTTCGTAAGTTTTAAACTTTTAATCAAAATTAAACAGTTTTGTTTAATTTGAAAAGAAATGTTTTCATATCCATAGCAAACATGTTGAGATTCAAGGGAATGACTGATGTCATGCATATCATGATAAAAAAACGACAGTTATATCACTTTTAGAGGAACATATCTGCGGATGATTTTTAATTCAAATTTCACCACTTCATTTAAATATTGAATACTGCTTAAGTCCGTGCTAAAGGGCAAGGCCGAGCCTGTAACAATTTCAATTTTGCCGTTTTGTGTGTTCTTAAAGGATTCTGTTTTTCTGTATTTTAGTACTAATCCTTTGGTATTTATGTCCGCATACTTCGGCGCCGGAAAATTGCCAATACACTTGGACGATTTTGAATGTACGGGCACTGAGATGAGCTTACTTCAATGTCCACATAGAAGTTTGGGATCAAATAATTGCAGTCATAGTGAAGATGTCGGCATATCTTGTACACAAGGTAATATTTCGTTTTATGGTGTAGTAGGATGTATATTGAACTACAATGTATTGGTATTTTTAATAAAAAGCCTACTGTTTTGAACAAAATTCCTGTAACACTTTGGGATAAACAAGGAGTGGTTTTTAAGGTTATTAAAAGGGTAAAATTGATAATACTAATAAAATCATAAAAAGTGAATTACTTTTTAAAAATAAGGACAAAAATAGCAACACAACATGAGAAAATGATGAAACAAACAAACCTATGGAAAAATTAGTGAATCGCGGACGCCGTCAGAACATCAAAAAATTTTCATTAAGTGTCTACACAAAATATTCATTAAGCCTTATAAAGTATTTATGTGGTGATCAGGCTAAACATGCCGTCAATTACGACTTTTAAGTTTGCTAAAATAATTTCTGTTAAAATTTATTTAAAAACGATAAGCAATTGAAGAGATAAAGATATTGATACACATACTTTGTTAAGAACTAGCCTAAAAGACCACCTGAAAAATATTTAAAATTGCAAAAATTATGTTAATTTTACTAGGAAAAGCGATAAAAAAGATATAGCAAAAAAAAAAAAGAATTTACTGTCCTATATCAATATTATTACTACATAATCACTCAATATTTAAACTAGGACCTGAGTTTCTTCTCAACTTGAAATATATGTTTGGTCGAATTCGATGTTCATATAACCGTTTATCGAATTCATTTCTTCTTTATAAATAACATATTACGAGGTTCAACATTCGCCTTCCGCTTTTATTTATCTGGAAGAGTTTTTAATATAGAAAACAATCCGTGAGTCCAAATTTTCTGTTCTTTATATGGGTAATATGATATTATAAAATAACTACTATCTTTACCTTGAATTGCTTGTTAGGCCCCTACCGGTTAAACCGGAAGGGACGTTAGGTTTACAGTACGTCCGTCCGACCTTATGTCCGTCCACAAAACTGGATCTTACACACAAAGTACTGAAAATATTTTTATGAAACACGAAATAAGGGTAATGGCAGTCTTGAAATTATATACTTACAACTTAGCAAAACTTTGCGATACAAAAATTGCGACTGACGACAACGTTCCTGTACTTGATGTTTTATGAAATATAGAGTCTTAACTATTTTCACTTGTGTGTCCATAATATTGACCGTACCTTGACCGTACCATGACCAAATCAACTGAGTGGTCATTTATTATAAACATTATCGTACATATAACTATTAAAATTCTTGTATTCTTGAAGTACGATTGGTAAGCGGGTCAAACCAATATGAAGGGAGACTAGAAGTATGGAATAACGGGTCTTGGGGAACAGTATGCGATGATGAGTTTGATACGCTGTCAGCAAAGGTTGTTTGCAAGATGCTGAATTATCCACAGTAAGTGCCAAACATATTAATTCCGTATTTCTGCATAAATTTACATTTATGTTTTGTAATATGTTGTTTGTAAGATGCTGGATTATCAACAGTAAGTAACAAACGATATAAACTTTGTTACACACATGATCAAAAAACTATGTATTGAAATATTTACAATCGTTATCAGATCTGGTCGAAATTTGGATCACCTGAACACAAAGGTCACTTGTCGAGCTATTGTATGGAAGCATGTGTGTCGATCATTGTTCTTTAAACAACATCTCTTTTCAAACAACAAAGTGGATTTTGACTAAACCTGGCAGGAATGATCCTTAGGTGGCCCTCTTAAAAAATTATTAAATTCTTTAAGTGATATGCATATGGTCATAATAAACTCTACAATGCCTCAGATCTTTAGCTTGCTATATCACACCGTAGGCCTCTACAGAAGTTTCACAATTCCTTCCCTTGTGATCATAAAATGGCCAATCTAGAGGCCACTTAGTTAAGAGACTTATGATGTGAAATAGTTAAATCTTCTTGTGAAATAATCACAGTCCCGGTGCTTAGATATCTCGCATGTTACACTGCTTAATAGATGTATAGGGATAAAACATAATTTAAATCATGTCCTAGATTTGTAAAGTAAACACGTGTCTTTGCATGTTTCTCAAAAACTTTCGATACAGTTGTATGTTTCAAGACCATTTGTTTATTTGTTTGATTTTCATAAGACATGTATTTATTTTCGATAACAACAAATTGATATTAAAGAGATTGACTGATTTGTATCTTGTTTAAAAATTGACAATTATGATTTACCATTTTAGTACTAATCCTCTGGTAATTGGAACAGATGTTTTTGGCGCCGGAACATTACCAATACATTTGGATGATGTCATATGTGCGGGAACTGAAACAAGCTTATCTCAATGTCCACATAGTGCATGGGGATCTCATAATTGTGGTCATAGTGAAGATGTCGGCATATCATGTTCTTATGGTAATTCTTAAAAAACATATTACTAAAATGAAAGATTTTCTTTTGCATAGCACATTTAACTAATCATTTAACCATAACTCTGCAAAAAATAAATGCGAATTAGACTGGTTTGCTGTTTAACAAATTTTTACTTTTGACCTTAATGTACTTTTATCTGAATGACCGATGGTTAGTTATAACCATTACACTGTTAAATATATATAAGTTTTATTCTAAGTACTAGAACATATGTTTACATGTTAAAGCATTCTATCAAACTGTTATCAGAGACTGAGTGAACCGACGTGACTAGAGAGTATCTCATATTTCACAACACCCCCTTACTTAAGCTTGTAAGTTCAATCATTTATTACCTCAAACATTTCATTAACACATTTAAACTGAGAAAATGTGAAATGTAATTTAGATATCAATTATGTTGTTAAACACGCATTATTGGGTAATCATTAAATCCTGTCAACATGTAATCATTTGTTAAATCAAGAACAACATTACAAATTTAATCTATCAAGGTGTTTACTGAGCCTGTCTGATCTAGTAATTACACCTGCACACTGATTTTGAGACACTTGTTTGTCTTCATCATTAGACACTGAGTAAGTTGTTACTGTAGACACTAAATTTTTTGAGGTCTTATAATTTTCATTGAAAGGAATATCTTTTTCGCTTTAAAACTCGTTAATGCAACTAAACTACGGCGATTTCTTTCAATGGTAGATATTGTTGTCTCAACTATAAAAGATCGTGGTCGCGAAGCTTTTTTAATTACTCTACCTTCTATAATCATGTCTTTCACATGTACTCCGCCCCCTTCCTTTAATGAAGGCAAATTTTGTGCACGTCTTTTTCTGTAATAATTTTGCTTAGCGTTAGCACGGTATGTTTTTTACTCTATTTTGAAGAACTTAATAGTTTATATTGCTTTGTAGCAGTTTTTGTGGTGCTTGTGGAAAAGTTGTTATAATCTGCCTACCAAATAACATTTGACACGGACTTAAACCATTGTGGGGTAATGGAGTCGCACGAGAGATAATCATCGCTTCATAAGGGTAGTCGCGTTTAGACAATAACCGTTTTACAGTCTGAACAGCGCGTTCTGCTTCCAAATTCCCTCAGGGATATCGTGGACTACTTGTCACATGTTCGATTCCGCATTTCATACAAGACTGTTTGAATACATCAGAGGTGTATTGCGGCCCTCCGTCAGAAACTATGGTATCGCATAGGCCATGTCTTGATAATAATTATTATATTGACTTGAAATGTTCAACTACCGCCATCGAAGACATTGTCGTAAGTCTCGATATTTCAATATATCGTAAAAAGTAATCTACTACTAAATATGTATGTCCGCGCCAATGAAAAAGATATGAACCTAATCTTGACCAACTTCTATAAGGAAATGGAGTACGTATCATTGCTTTTCTTTTGTCATTTTGAAATTTTGCACAAATATCACAATTCTGAATCACTTGCTGTATGTCACGTGATATGCCTATACACCAAACTGATTTTTTTGCCCTTGCTCTACATTTTGAAATGCCTTGATGAGCTTGGTGTAACTTAAAATGTCTAGTCTCATGTCTGTCGGAATAATAAGTCTGTCATTTCTCATTAACAAACTTTTATTGACAGTAATTTCTGACCTAAGGTTTTATACAATTTGGCAATCTCACACGATTTTGTATTAGGCCACCCATTATAGGTATATTGAATTAATTTGCTGCACTCATAGTCAGATTTTTGTTTTGATTTAATTTCCTCCAGCCTTTTTTTGTATCTTGGAGACTGGTGGCAACTGAGTCAACATACAATTCGGTTTCATTACAATTTTGATAGTCATTAAATGTTAAGGTGTCACATTCAGCACGCGGTAAGTAATCAGGAATATACATCAATTTTCCAGGCACAAAGCTTATTGAGTAGGAGAATCTTAGCAGTCTCATTCTAAATCTTTGTACCTTCCGGTAGATCACTCAAGTCATTTTGTCCTAAAAGACTTACCAGAATTTATGGTCAGTTTTGATATGGAAATGTTTTCCAAGCAAAAAGTCACTATGTCGTTCAGCCCCTACGCCTATTGCTTCTTTTTCAAGAACACTGTATCTAACCTTTGTGGGTGTAATTGCCCTTGACGCAAGTGATACTTGCTTAAAGTCACAATCGTCTTGTTTCTGAAGAATTACACTTCCGGTAGCATATTTTGAATAATCTGTCATAAGAACAATTTCCCTATTTGGATCATAATGAGCTTACACTGGAGTATTGGTTAAAGTAAGCTTGGATTTATCAAAATCTTCTTGTTGGTTTTTACCCTAGTAAAATTGAGTTTTCGTACTCAGCAGATCTCTGATAGGTTTCGAGTCTGTTGCCAAAGATGGAGAAAATTTCACAAATTTATTGACCATTCCCATAAAACTTCGTACCCCATGTTTGTCTTTTGGAGGACATAAATTTCTTATAGCCTTAACCTTGCCCGGGTCTACTGAGATTCCATGTTGTCCTACTAAGTATCCATCAAAGTTGACCTGTTTTTGCTTAATGACACACTTATTTTCATTCAGTGTTACATTACACTGGTCTAGTTTGTCCTAAGTCTAGTGTCTTGTTCGGCCTATATCCGTCCGAATATCAGGACATATTTGGCATAGAACCCCTTCAATGCCCTCAAGAATTTGAGACATCCGTTTTTTTGAAAATATTCAGAACTACTAAATAACCCCATTGGTAAGCGATTAAACGTGTATCTACCAAAAGGTGTGGAAAAGTCAATAATTTACTTTCTTGGGCAAGTTAAATTTGCCAAAATGAACTATAAGCGTTTAAATTTGAAAAATAGTTTGCTTCAGTTAAACGTTAAACGACCTAAGCTTTGTTCTATAATCGACAGAGGAAAATTCTCACGTCGCACATTTTTATTCGACTGTGTCAAATCAACACATATGCGCACGTTATTGCCTCTTCTAGGAATACATACCATTCCTGCACACCAGTCTGTGCTTTCATCTACTTTAAACATTACGCCTGCCTTTTCCATAAGCTCGAGCTCAGATTTAACTTTCGGTAGCAAAGGTAAAGGCATGCGCCTTGGTACAGATAAAGCATATGGCTGCGCGTTTTCATTGACTGAAATACGATGTACACCATCTAATTGCCAGAGCTCGCAAAATACTAGTAGATTAGGATGCTTCTGTTTGACGTTTTCAATGATTTGATTCTCGTACAAATTTAATTGAATTAAATTGAGATTCTTTATAGCAGGTCTCCCTAATAAACATCTATCTATGTCTCTTACAACGTATATATTTTTTTTGAAGTGTTACCATTGTGTGATAGAGTCTGTGTTAATGAACCGATAACTATCAATTTTCTGTTACCTCGGCCGTATAACGATCTGTGCGTTTTATTCAATTTTGGTTTGCCTAAAGTATTTAAAAGACTTTCAGGAATAACAGTCAAATCAGCACCAGTGTCTAATTTAAAGTAGACAAACAAATCTCGCACCTGAAGTTTTATTGTCCAAGGTTCATCTGGTACACAGTCAATAGTTCCTTAATATGATGATGCGTCATTTGAACACAGTTCGTGAACATTTTAGTTTTATTACACACTCCGAAATAATTATAATGTCCACATTTCCGGCATACTTTCCCAAAGGCTGCACAATGTCCTCGTGTATGATATTTATGTCAATTTGAAAACCGTTTATTATCGATTTTCTTCGATTGTCTAGATTGTGTCCCCGGAAATTTATGCTGTCGAAAAACGACGTGTGGTTGCGGTACCAAACTTCGTTTTGGCTTTGCCCCGCCACGAACTTCGTCTATTACAGCTACATCCTGTTGTGATCGAATTTGGTTTTTAACTATTTCGCTGTTTCTTGCCATTGTTAAGCATTTATCGAGAGTAAGGTCTTGATCAAGCTGCAGTTTTTCTGACAAATATTTATCTTAAATTCCAACTACGATTTGATCACTTATTTGCTCGCTTTTTATATCGGCAGCAAATTCACAGCTGTCCGCCAACTCGTATAAAGATCTAATGAATGTCTCTACTGGCATTCATCTGGCATTTGGTTTCTCTTATGGAATTTTGCTCGTTCGTGAATTAAAATTTTTCTTTGGATTAAAATGTTCGTCGAATTTTGTTAAGACAGTTCCATATTTTTTTGCCTTATTTTCTGATAGTTCAAAAGATTTTTAATAAGTTGTAAGCTTCTTTTCCCATGGTATATACCAGTGTAGCCACTTGTATATCTTCATATTCTTTATGAAGTTTTGAAGCTGTTTTGAAAAAGAAAATCTGTTTTGAAAAAGAAAATCTTTGTTTCCAGTTATTCCATTTATTTGGGCTTGAAAAATCAGAGTTTTCTGAACCTTGCCATGCCATTTTGCCGACTTCGCCATTTTTCTGAAATTTCTTGTTAAATTGAATGCTTTAGTTCTTTAAAATTTAATGTAGTCCAGCTAGTAATTTTCAGTTTAATGTTTATCCAATCAACAGTATTTTATTAATTTACAATTAAATATAAGTCTTTTTTAAAACCTGAATAACCGATGGTCAGTTATAACCTTAACACTGTTAAATATATATGTTATAAGTTTTATTCTAAGTACTAGAGCATATGTTTACATGTTAAAGCTTTCTATCACAATTTTATCAGAGAGCAAATCTACACTGAGTTAAACCCACGTGGCTAGAGAGAGTATATCATATTACACAACGCTTAGCATGAAACAACATTATTCATATTTAAAACGTTGCGATAAATTTTGAAATTAATGAATTTACTTTCGTAAATTATGTCCTGTTTGTGTGACTGCAAAGTTTCAGAAACCTTTTTAAACAGTGCTTTAAACAATTCTAAAAATGAAAAAAAAAAACGTTTAAATGATCTCTAGTGATATGAAGTAGAACAAAATGTCCTCTTCAATACTTCAAACAAGTACAAAATTGCTGGGAAATGCAGCAATATGATTGTCACGGCGAAAAAAAAAAAA